CTACTGGATGACTGGAAAAAGACATGAATATTCATAACTGAAGCCCACTGTGTGATCTTACACTAATGCTCGAGGTGACAGTGCCAACTACTAACAGAAAGGAGAAGGGACAGCCAGACTGAAGCTGAAGACACAAACCATATTCATGCAGTCTAAATTTAAAGAGACAGCTATACGGCTACACGATCCTTCTACATTTTTGGTATCAACAACTATAAACAAAGTTGATCATATCTACATTTCTACCAAGAAACATAAGCCTCATAACTCAAATGGTAAGTTATTATAATTATGATACACATCTATACATATGGAAACACATCTAACATCAAACGTTTAACCTTTATGATCATTTTCAAGTTTCATTATATAGCTCCATTCAAGGCTATAGGTACATAATGTTCAGGCATGACCAACGCTGAAATTATTTTCATTGGATGGGATGGAAATAGCACAGTAGGCCATGGCTTTGGAATGGCGGTAAAATATATCAACAGCTGTGGAGGAGAGGGTATTTAGTCTTTGCATTTAGCTTGTCAGTCCCCTTAGGATAGTAATAATTTTAAGTGAAATTATGTAAAAAAAAAGATTATAATAATAAAACATCTACAACCCCCCCCCCCCATACACATATCAATGGAAACATGCACGTAAACAACAAATGCACAAAACATTTAACATATCGCTATGCATATTTTTTTTTTTCATATGCCACACAAATCTCATATTTTGCACTTACACATACAGGTGAAGCTCGAAAAATTAGAATATCGTGCAAAAGTTCATTTATTTCAGTAATGCAACTTAAAAGGTGAAACTAATATATGAGATAGACTCATTACATGCAACACAAGATAGTTCAAGCTGTGATTTGTCATAATTGTGATGATTATGGCTTACAGCTCATGAAAACCTCAAATCTACAATCTCAGAAAATTTTAATATTGTGAAAAGGTGCAATATTCTAGGCACAAAGTGTCCCACTCTAATCAACTAATTAAGCCATAACACCTGCAAAGAGTTCCTGAGCCTTTAAATGGTCTCTCAATCTGGTTCAGTAGGAATCACAATCATGGGAAAGACTGCTGACCTGACAGTTGTGCAGAAAACCATTACTGACACCCTCCATAAGGAGGGAAAGCCTCAAAAGGTAATTGCAAAAGAAGTTGGATGTTCCCAAAGTGCTGTATCAAAGCACATTAATAGAACGTTTTGTGAAAGGGAAAAGTGTGGAAGAAAAAGTTGCACAAGCAGCAAGGATGACCGCAGCCTGGAGAGGATTGTGAGGAAAAGGCCATTCAAAAAGTGTTGGGGACTTTCACAAGGAGTGGGCTGAGGCTAGAGTCAGTGCATCAAGAGCCACCACACACAGACAGATCCTGGACATGGACTTCAAATGTCATATTCCTCTTGTCAAGCCGCTCCTGAACAGCAAACAGTGTCAGAGGCGTCTTACCTGGGCTAAAGAAAAACAGACCTGGTCTGTTGCTCAGTGGTCCAAAGTCCTCTTTTCTGATGAGAGCAACTTTTGCATCTCATTTGGAAACCAAGGACCCAGAGTATGGAGGAAGAATGGAGAGGTACACACTGCAAGATGCTTGAAGTCCAGTGTGAAGTTTCCACAGCCTGTGTTGATCTACTGGTGTTGGTCCACTGTGCTTTACTAGGTCCAGGGTCAACGCAGCCGTCTACCAGGAGATTTTGGAGCACTTCATCCTTCCTTCCGCAGACGAGCTTTATGGGGATGCTGACTTAGTTTTCCAGCAGGACTTGGCACCTGCCCACACTGCCAAAAGCACCAAAACCTGGTTCAATGACCATGGGATTACTGTGCTTGATTGGCCAGCAAACTCGTCTGACCTGAACCCCACAGAGAATCTATGGGGCATTGCCAAGAGAAAGATGAGAGACATGAGACCGAACAATGCAGAAGAGCTGATGGCCGCTATTGAAGCATCCTGGTCTTCCATAACACCTCAGCAGTGCCACAGGCTGATAGCTTCCATGCCACGCTGCATTGAGGCAGTAATTGCTGCAAAAAGGGCCCAAACCAAGTACTGAGTACATATGCATGCTTATACTTTTCAGAGGTCCAATATTGTTCTATGTACAATCCTTGTTTTATTGATTGCATGTAATATTCTAGTTTTCTGAGATTGTGGATTTGGGGTTTTCATGAGCTGTAAGCCATAATCATCAATTATGACAAATCACAGCTTGAACTATCTTGCTTTGCATGTAATGAGTCTATCTCATATATAAGTTTCACCTTTTAAGTTGCATTACTGAAATAAATTAACTTTTGCACGATATTCTAATTTTTTGAGTTTCACCTGTATACCTGTGTTCTGTGAATGGAATGAAAACTTGTGTACAAGACTGTTGTATGACTGATAGATAGTTTACGTGTTGGGGGTCGTGTTCGATATGTGCAAAGTGAGATCACACAAATACTTATAAGTATAACATTTAATTGAGTAATAATAGAAATAGTGCAGAAGTAAAAATAAAAATAGTATCAAAAGAAAGATATAAAAAGACTTAGCTGCAGGTACAACATAGGTGCTTTTCCAAAGGTCCCACCCATTTGACAACAGTTTGGCAGTTAATCAGGGCAGAAACGCGATTCTCGAAGTTCTGTTAGAGGACTAGCTTATTCCAGTTTGGGCTGTGGTAGATACAGGCAAGTATGTGAGTAAATGACCAATCAAAGTTGTTTGGCCAGTGATATAATCTTTTAAGGGGGATAGTGAGCTCGGTCATCCTGCATTTCTCAAGCAGATAAGGTAAACCATACCTGTCCTTTTATGGCTCTATGACCAGATCTTAGAGGAGACTTTCCTTTACATTTGTGAGCCACAGATAAGAAAAAAAATTAGGGTTTCTCCATCACTCCACCCCCTGGTTCACAAATATCACAAAGAAATGCCTCCAACTGTTTGTAAAGGCAACATGTCAACAGTGGAACTGAAGAAGTATTCAGCCTCAGATTCCAGAAAACCAGTTGTCTAGATTCAACCATGAAAGCCAGTTTGGCAATTTCGGGTTCCAGTCTGCTTGTCAATATTCTTTCCTGAATTTATTTTTCATTTGCCTTGTGTTTTTTTCATTTTCATGTGTTCAATGTGGCCTTCAATAAACTCATCATAATTTTGTGATACATAATTACAGCAAGTTGTACCCACAGTTATACACATAACTGCTTGTGAAGCAGTCAGATAATCCAACACAAGCCCGTATTGAGCTATCAACTTCATATGCCACTTCAAAAACATCATTTATCATATGTAATGTGCAGGGCCAGGACGGGGGGGAGGCAAAGGGGCACCTGCCCTGGGGGCATTGTTGAAGGGGGCGCATTGGGAGCTTCGGCTCCTCTTGTATCTCAGTGATAGGACCAAAGTTGTTGGTTTCTGTAACCACCCGGCAGCCTGCCCACCACCTGTAAGGCTTTAGTATCCTTACATCTGCCAAGTCTAGTCCCAGAATTTCCTGCATTCTTTCGGCTTGTGTCCCCACCCGCCGGCCCGCCCACCATATGTAAGCATTAAGTACTTTTAGATCTGCCGGGTCTAGTACCGCATTTCCTGCATGCACTGTCGGCTTCTGCCCCTGCCTCCCACCCCACCCACAATTTAGCACTCCTCTAGGCTATGTTCTATAGGTCTGTTAAGTGGTGGGCGGACCGGGAGGCGGGGGACAGAAGCTGGCAATGCATGTAGGAAATGCGAGACTAGATCTGGTAGATCTAAGGGTACTGAATGCTCACATGTGGTGGGCGGGCCAGCAAGTAGGGATACAAGCCAACAGAGAATGCAGGAAATGTGGGACTAGACCTGGCTGAAGCTGAAGCTGGCGAGTGGGTGGGCGGGGACACAAGGTGACAGAAGATGCCAGTACTAGACCCGGCAGATCTAAGAATACTGGAGACTTACAGGTGGTGGGTGGTGGTCTGGTGGGCAGGGACAGATGCCCTACAGAAATATTGGGACCAGGTCTAAGAACGTTAAAGGTACAATGCAGTTTTGATTTGCACTTTTCAGTGCAGGATTTGAGCACTGTGGATGTGATTGCTAATTTGCAGAGGACTCAGTGGACTTTTTAAATAGTTGTTAAAATGATAGTTAACTCTTTTCTGCTACTTTTACCTACAAGAAAGCTTAAAATAAAGCTTACCTGTAGGTAAAATTAATATCTCCTAAACATGCACCATTTAGGAGATATTGCAGTGAGCAGCAGCCGGTGATGTCACAGGCGCATGTACTCTGAAGGGATGGCATACGCATGCCGTCCCCTCCAAGCTCTATGCCACAGCCATGACTCCCACACATGTGTACAGCAGTTACAACTGCGTCACAGAGCTTGGAAAGCACAGCGTGAATATGCCGTCCCATTAGAACGCATGCGCCATTCAAACGGCCAGAAAAATAAACAAGAAACAAAAACAAACAAGATATACCTGTGCTCAAATCCCAACAGCCAGTACATGCATTTGTCCATCAGGTGCTAATTAAAGCGTGGAAGCAAGACTAGTTGAAGATGGAAGCACCTACAGTGGTGACAGCACACCGCTGGCGGGGGTGGTTGTTTCAAGCTAAGTCACTCATAATGTGCTACTATCTGATGCATACTAACACAATATGATTTTACCTTGCAGGGAGAACTTTTTTTTTTATTATTGGAGGTAGTTTGCTTTCTCTTTAAAGTGGCTTTCTGCTATAATTATGTTGGCGGCACTGTGCTTTATGCACTTTCTAATAGATACTATGTTAGATTTACACGTTTGTGTTTGCTGTGGCTCACGTTTTTGCAGACACAGCAGCCTATTCATTTGAATGGGCTGCTATACCTGCAGTAAACACCGGAAAAAGGTCCCTGCACCTTTTTAAAAATGCAGCCACAGGGAAATCACGTGGTGTTTTTGCACCATATGATTTCCCGCACACTAAAATGCACTGAATTTTCAGATGCATGATGATGTCATTAAAAATATATGGCAGCCTCATGTGTCTACAAAAGAACAGCACTTTTGCCTGTGGAAGGTTGTGGGTGCGGGAATAGAAACAATTTACATGCTGTCCCGCAACCACCTGCAACACGGTGAACCTAGCCTTAGGGCTCATTTACACTTGTGATTGGGGGCCGTAAAAACATGCTGCTGAGCCTCATCACTCCCTTTTAAGCTCCAGAGGCAGCAGGTGGGGGTGTACAGATGCCACAGCCATAATAATATAATTTGCGGCTGCGGCAGGAATTATACCCCCTTCCACTTTCATCATGCACTACCGGGAGAGAACAGTTTGTCATCTTTGCGCTGGCCATAGGATGACCTTGTCCCGGAACTGGTAATATGTCAAACATCTCATCTGTAATGTTATCAAACAATTCGGCAAATTTTTCCAGTGTGTGCACGGTTTGAACGGATAACCCTACTGTTGTAAGGGATAAACCAATTTTTTTCTCCCAGTGTAGATGAAAGACTGACTTTGCCTTACTCTTAGGGATATCTCTTTTAAACAAATGATGTTTTGGTATTTTCTGAAATTCTAAGTCATTATTGTTCATAAACCAGGTAGCTGGGGCTATCCTTATGATAGTGCACCTCTCACAGGTAAAAATGTTCATATTGCGAAAAATTCGTAAACCGAAATGCGGTTTCCCAGAGGAATGCATTAAAAACCAATTAATCCGTTCCGGAGGTCAGAAAAAAAGTAAAAAAAAAAAAAGTATTTTCTCTGTTCAAAACTCTTTATAAAGTGCACTTTAAAGGCATACATACTGTACAGGGACATAATTATAAAAAACATTTGTAAATGCATTGAAAACAAATTAATCTGTTCCAGAGGTCAGAAAAAAATAAAAAAAAAGTCTTATTTGTTCAAAACTCTTTATAAAGTGCACTTGAAAGGCATAGTACTGTACAGGGACATGATTAAAAAAAAGTCATAAATGCATTGAAAACCAATTAATCCATTCATATTGAGAAATAAATTCGTAAACCAAGGCATTATTTTCAATGGATTTTCATTCGTGAACCAAAAATGATGTTAACTGATGTGTTCATAAACCGAGGTACGCCTATATTTCCACATGCATACCACTCACGTGGCAACTGAAGTTGACCAAGTTGGCTTAGCTGATCAATAGATATCTGGTCTAATGAAAATAAAGGTTCACGAAGCACAGTATCTTTAATCAAATTCTTTTCAGTGGTGCAGGGGATCCACCTACAAGTCAGTCATAAGTAGACTGTGGCACCCCCATCCCTTCTCTATCTTAGAGGGTTTATGTATTCTGACATGTTCATCGAAAGCTGCTTATGCCTCCCCATATGAGCTGTCTTTCTGTTTGGTAGGGGGCAAGGAAGTGGCTGTTTCCTTTACATCACTAGTTGCCACCCTCTTGGGTCTGGCAGGCTGGCTGTAACTTCCCTTGCTGCTTCATTTCTTTTAGAGTTTGAGCAGATCAGCAGTGGGGATCCCATTAATACTTTATTTGGGAAAATAACTGTTTCCTTGTAATTTTAAACCTCTGTGTTCTATCTCCCTTTTCTGGCTTCTGTATTGATCTTTGCGTATGACCTGGTCCTGGTCCCCTGTCTACTTCTTCTGACTGACCAATCAATGCAACTGCCTCATGCACATTACCCTGCCTCCCATCCAAAGTACTTAATACTGTGAACAATGCAGGGCATAAATGTTGTGGGGCTGTCTTGAGTATTTTCTGTCTCATTAAAGAGGAAAATTGGGGCTTGTCTGGATCCACCCATATAGCTGATACCCCATAACATCCATCAACAGGAAGGAGGCTCCTCACAATGCCAGTAATACACGCAGCCTCTCATACTGTCTGTATCCCCTCACACAATGTATGCCAAGAAGCCATGTCAATTGGTTCTGTTGGAGTTTCATATACCTAGGCAATAGAGTCCCTAATCAAATGCAACAAGCTAAATGAACGCTCTGTAATATGTGCTCGATGCATTTGAAGACTCTAGGCTCCAAAGATGCACTTCGCAATCCTATTGCTTCAGTGTCAAAATTCCTTCTCCAGGTTTCTGTCTCTACTTTTGTCCCAACTCAGTTAGTTCCCCAGAAGAATATGACCGTGTCTCTTCTGTCAAATTATGTTCTGCAGAAGCTCCCTGTGCTGGTCTCAAGTCTGTGTCACCATTCAAACCTGTCGTTCCATCAATTCTCTCCCTTACTTCACGTCTTTGCCTAGTAGTGACAATTGGTCTCACTGATTCTGGTGTTTTCTCAACTTCAATTTCCTCATCTGAATCAGAGCCTGACCAATGTGCAACCTCCTCTCGTTTACTTTGCGAAATCAGTGTTCTAATATGGGCAGTAGCCCCTGCTTTTTTTAGGAAACCATTTTTTACAACACTGCTTTAGTTGTACAGCATTAATCACATATGTTGAAAATTGTGCTACCACCTCCTCTCTCTGCTTGTCTGCATCATGCAGGCATATTCTCAAAAGCGCTAATTGTTCTGAAACAAGAGCTTCCAATGCCTCTTTTCTCTCTGTTTCAGCCAGAAGAGCTTGGTAACACAACCACCCCACTTGTGCTGCCGCCTCCTGCTCGTTATTGAAGCAAGACAAGTCCAGTTCTGTCACCGACTAGCAAGGATCCGCCAGGCGGGTCGGTGCTACACATTTCAAATAAACAAAATAGTATAGCCCAACCATATGAAACAAGAATTAACATAACAATAAAGTGTCCTTCCATTCTAAAAGTGATACACAAATGTCCCAAAAATTAAAATCACGTGAAAAAGCTCTTCTACATCTTTGTATGAACACATCATTAGTGCTTCAACCCACCACCACACAAATTGGCCACTCACCTCAGTTTAATGACTACTGCTCTAACAGTAAGTCATAAGCGCTTTCCCTTTATGGATGAGACAGTTGATCCATTGAACGGTTTCATCCACTCATGGCTTCCCCTATGATGTCTTCTGTAATACTCATGCACAAATGAGAGACAGCCCATAGTGTATACTGCAAATAAACTTCTTTACTGCTAAAAATGGTTAAAACTAGATATAACACTCCAAAAGTGCAGGTTAAAAACATGTACAGGTATGCCACAGCTCTCCAAGATGGCCACGGGATGACGTCATGTGCGCAGTTCCTCCCCTTATATGCGTTATGTCCTGGGCAGGACTTCTTCAGGCATATTCTCTAAAAAGCTAATTGTTCTGAAACTGCCTGCAGTTCAGATTCCAATGCCGCTTTTTTCTTTGTCTCAGCCATAAGAGATTGGTAACACAACCACCCCACTTGTGCTGCCACCTTCTGCTCCTTGTTATCGAAGTGAAACAAGTCCAGTTCCACCACCAACTGGCAAGGATACGCCAGTTGGGTCGGTGCAACATATTCATTCAATTCATGGGAAACTTGATTCCACTGTCTGGACTTGGGCACCCAACTTATGAGTGGGCTTGCAGATTGATTGTCTGGCATCTATCTCTTACCCCAACTGAACTGATGCATTTTCTAAGCTTTTTGAATGTTCTATGGCTTTTAAACGTTTTCATTAGAGATGAGCGAATCGAACTTGGCGAAGTGGAATTTGTTTCGAATATTAGGAAAAATTCGATTCGCATCGAATCCGAATTTTAGCAAACTTCGGATGCACGAATTGAATTTTCCCCCGATCAGCCGGCAAAAGTGTCACTGCAGAGAGCTCCGCTATTTCTGACAGTTCTCTGACAGTTCTGACAGTTCATTTACAGCGGTTGAAACATTGTATCTATTTGTTTCCATTTAGGATACAGATGTTTTTATTCGGAAATAAATAGATACAATGTTTCAACCGCTGTAAATGTGAAGGAACTGTCAGAGAACTGTCAGAAATAGCGGAGCTCTCTGCAGATACACTTTTTGCTGTACTGGAATTCTTCTTCTTTTCATTCTTCTTCTTCTTCTTCTTCTTCTTTTCATTCTTCTTTTTATTTTCATTCTTCTTTTCATTCTTCTTCTTCTTCTTCTTTTCATTCTTCTTCTTCTTCTTCTTTTCATTCTTCTTCTTCTTCTTTTTTTCATTCTTCTTTTCATTCTTCTTCTTCTTCTTCTTCGTCGTGCCCCGTGACTGCCCAAATGAGTGAAGTGTGCGGTGATTCTAAGATCGACGGCACTCATCTGCATGTCATACTGACTGACAGTATTATTTCTCTTCCCCAGCAGACTCCAAGGGCATTTAAATTAAAGGTACAGTGTTCTGCACTAATATAAAGGCTCTCTGAAGCCTAGAAACCCTTTTAATAAGTTAAATTCGCGGCGAATAAATTCGCATCGAATCTAATTTCTCCCGCAAATTCGGCGAATCAGCCGAATCGAATTTTTGAATAATTCGCTCATCTCTAGTTTTCATATTAAATCCAGCACAAACAATCTAGCACAATCCTGCTGCTATAAATGCTATTATTTGTATCTTGAGTTTACACAGATCGAATCCCACTTCTGGTACAATGTGTTGTATCGTTGATAAGTGATAGTTTACGTGTTGGAGGTTGTATTCGATATGTGCAAAAGAGAACACACCTATACTTATAAGTATAACATTTAATTGAGTAATGATAGAAATGGTGACAGAAGTACAAATTCAATAGTATCAAAAGAACATATAAAAAGACTTAGCTGCAGTTAGAATATACTGTAGATGCTCTTCCAGAGGTCCCCACCCGTTTGACAACAGTTTGGCAGATGATCAGGGCAGACACATGCTTCTCAAAGTTCTGTTAGAGGAGTAGCATATTCCAGTTTGGGCTGTGGTAGATACAGGCTAATATGTGAGTAAATGACCAATCAAAGTTGTTTGGACAGTGAGTGATATCACGTTTTAAGTGGGACATTGGGCTCGGTCATCCTGCATTCCTCAAGCAAATAAGGTAAACCATATATGTCCCTATGTGGCTCTCTGACCAAATCTTAGAGGAGGCTTTCTTTTACATTTGTGAGCCACAGGTAAGGAAAAATTAGGTTTTTCCATCAGAGATATTCTGTGAATGTAGAAAGAGAGGGGAGGGGGTAGGAGGGGAGTATGGAGAGGATACGCAAGATTGTCTTGCCTTCTTCATTCACAGAAAGCCTTGTATTACAGAAAATGCAAGGCATTTTGTGAATGGGCGAGCAGAGAGAAAGGGAAAAGGATGTCACTGGAAGCTTTACTGCCATAGCTGCAGCTTTTATTCCCACAGCATCCAAGAAATCCAGCACTGTGCGTAGGAACTGGCTTGCAGCAAGGTATCATTTTTACTATATAGCAGCCATTCACACAAAGTTTTACATATTATTAGGGCTACATTAAAGAATCTAAAATCATTTTTATGAGGTTAACAGGTGCCATCTTAGCTCTAATTTTGGAATTAATAACGTTTCACCCTAGTATACAAACTGAACAAGAAAAGCACAGGCCTCTCCTATCTAGTCATGAATGTAGCCCACTGCTCCTGTTCTGTTCTCAGACTTCCTTAAACAGTGTACAGGGCAGATACCACACTATTAAACTGTATAGTGTCTGTCTCCAGGAGGTGGGACACCAGGGAGAAGATGGGACAGAAAGGGAGAGCCCGTAAACAACTTTGCCTACTGATGTGGGTCTAGTTTCTAGACTGACCTGCTTCCCACAATTAAAGCAATAGGCATGATAACACGGGATGATGAGGAACAAATCTGAGGTCCATGGGAACATAGAAATTGGGTGGGATTGTGGAAGAGTCCCACAAAACCAGGACTGTTGGGAGTTATGCTGAAACACGTCAATGCAGCTCAGAATAAGGTTACATGCAGATCAGACAGAGGTCAGCTGCAGGCTATATGTACCAGTCAAAAATTGACCTCAGAAGCATCTCAAACTAACTTTAAATGCAGGCTAAATGCACCTGATAGCATGCATTTTCCCATCGACACAAGCCCTAAACCTACCATGAGGCCATTATTATTACTCTTTTTTTAATTATTATTATTATGACATGTATTTATGTCAATACACTGCCATCAATCACAATCAATCACAGTGTACCATGTTTTCATCCTCTTGGACTATACCCTCTGCTCCTGTGCAAGGAGTAGTGTGCTTCTCCCCATTACCTATAGCTCATCAACAGACTTCTGGTCTTTGCCCACAAACTCTTTTCTCTTTTTTCAACCTGGTAAAAATGATGTGCAAAATATTTGTATGGAATTCTGTATAACACATTTTTATCCTGTGTGATACATTGCTTTCCTTCATGGTGAACATACTGTCTTATCCCTGTAGGGTGATTCTCATCTCCCCTTCTTCAGATTATTAAAATGGAACTAAACCCTCCTATCCTTTAACCCCCCTGGCAGTATTCCCGAGTGTAGCTCAGGGTTAACTTTCAGTACCAAAAGCGGTAACCCCGAGTTACACTCGGGAATACACTTCAGCGTTGCTCTGGGATCCCTCTTGCACTTACCTTGTCCTTTGCTCCCGCAATGTCCCCCCTGCGGCGTCCCCGGCCATCTCCTCCGGCCGATGACGGCATCCGTCTTCCGGGTTTCAGTCCCTGCGAGCATCGGGACGTACGGGGGACGGAACTGGCAGGAAATTTAAAAATGTTAAAAAATGACATTCACTAAATAAACTAAAATCACATAGTAAAACATTACTGTATCAAAGCATTTCACATACATTGTGTCCCTAGTGCTTTGTCCTGTGCCCTGCCTGCATTTTTACTGTTCTCTCTGCCTTGAAACTGAGAAACGTCCATGGCGTCCAAAAAACGTCCCTTTAGGTCAAAATCGGTTTTAGACCAGCTAGAGAACAGCGATAGTAAATCAGAACCACTTGCAGAATTGAGTGATAACGATTCGTGGGGACACTGAAAACGATTTTGTAACTAAGTTCAGTGATGTGCGAACTTGGCTCTTTATTTCAAATTGTAGTGTTTTTGGTTTGATTATATTATTGAATTAAATTTATTATTATTATATTAATATTTTTATGATTATTTATTATATTATAATGTATGATTTCGGATTTAAAATTTTATCATACCCGGGATGTTTACTAGACTCTTGTGCGGACAGATTTCAGTGAGTTATTCCTAAAAATTACAGGCCTACAATAAGAAAACAACATATTTCCATGCAAAAAAATGTACCGCTTTGAGCACAGAAATATGGACATAATCATACCGCTAGGGAGGTTAAAGCCAGGGAAGCTGCCATATTAGCTTCTTTTGGATCTCCAGTTGCCATGGTGCTGCACATATGATCAGTTATGACATGAGGCATTTTGAGGCTTGACAGTTCAAGCCATCAAAAGCAGTTGTGACTGTTATCATTCATAGCTTGCCTTGAATGTAACTGTATTAGGAAACAGTTGCATTGCTAGGTTTAGTTCCACTTTAAAGTGAAACTAAGTTCTAAACAAAAATTGTAAAGTATTGTAGCTTACCAATCATTGGATGTGGTGGCTGCATTAATTTTCTTTTTATTCCTTCATTTTTATGTGGTGATTGTTCAGTAACACACCTCCTTTCTTAGGGTGGCTACAATCACTCCTCCACTGTATCTATGAAGGAGCAATATAGCCACTCCTAGGTGTACATTGTTCTTGTTTTTTGAGAATCCCACTTAATTCCCTCAACCCTATCCAAGTACTCCAAAAATAAAAACAACAAAAACAACATCCCTAGATTGTTCATTGAAAAAAACATGTGAATGAGCCTATGTGCCTGGCTGCGGGGCAAGGATTGTGGGAAACCTGGACATTATGTCTTACGAGAGTACCATACCTGGCCCCTGAAGTAGACATCGCTTCTCCAATGATCTCCACTTGCTTCCAGCTCCCATACTGAGTAACTGACCTGATTTATTCTGAACAACAGAGGCAGGATGCTCAGCACAAGTGCCATTCAGTGTTCATGAAGTAGAAATGCAGCTGCTTTCCATAGGACCCGGAAGCAAATGAAGATCATTGGACTAGCAGTGTCTACTTCAGTAATTTCCAGCTTCCAGGGGCATTGGCCAGGTATGGTATATACATACATAGTTACATTGGTCCAAACTAGACCAATGTAACTATGTATAAAATATCCTCACTTGGAGTTTAACTGCTTTCCCGCACCCTATAGAACTACTGCTACAGGGTAGCAGGGCTGCGCAAAATAACGTATATACAGTATATGTGATTTACATTTCCGGGTAGGGAACGCACGCTCGCCACCCTGGAGATTCCCCACTGGCACCCGGCTATCACCATGTAAAACAACTGCAGCAAGGACATGCTGTTTTGTATTCCTCTTCACAGCAGAGAAATACAAAGTAGCATGTCTCAAAGGTAAAACAGCACACATCAAACATAGTAAAATACACACATCACACAGTTAACTCTTTGATCACCCAAAAGTTAACCCCGTCCTGCCCAGGGTCATTAGTACAGTGTCAGTGCATTTTATTAGCACTGATCACTGTATTAATGTCACTGGGGCTGTCAGTGGTAGTTAGTCAGTTCCCAACCAGTGTCAGAATGCCTGCCACAGTCCCGCTATAAGTTGCTGAGCGCCACCGTTACTAGTATAAAATAAATAAAAATTCCAGTATATATACCGTCATTTGTAGATGTTATAACTTTTGTGTAAACCAATTAATTTACACGTAATGAGATTTTTTTTTAGCAATGACATGTAGCAGAATACTTTTATGCTTAAATTTATGACGAAATTTGATTTTTTAATTTTTTTATTGGACATGTTTAATAGCAAAATGTCAAAAATATTGTTTTTTTTTTTTTTAATTGTCACTTTTTTTTGCTTATAGTGCAAAAAAATTAAAACTGCAGAGGTGATCAAATACCACCGAGAGAAAGCTCCATTTGTGGGAAAAAAAAGAACATAAATTTAATTTGTGTGCAGTGCTGCATGACCATGCAATTGTCAGTTAAAGTAACACAGCCCCGTATCGCAAAAAAAGTCCTGGTCAGGAGGGGGGTAAATCCTGGAGGGCAAATGGTTAAAGGACAACCCTACTAAAAAGTGAAGCTGTCTTTTAAAGTAATCATCAGCTCCAGTTTGGCTATGTTAAACATGTTTGTGAATTTACAAGGCTGGCTGTCACTTTGAGCAGGTTTCCAGGCTCAGTAGGTCTTTACTACTTACTGCTTGGAATTTGTTGAAAGCCTGCTGAAGTCTGTCAGCACTCCTTTACTATGACTCACTTTGTGAGCGTTTCTAGAAAAGTGACAACTACTTTGCTTGTGCTGGTATGCTACATTTAGGAACATGGTCACAACTTATCATGAGTGCTCGATGCATAACCAGTGGCTACATGAATTACTTGGTCTGCATCTTGAACGAACATTTTAAGTCAGAGTACTGCAAATCAGAGGCAGAGGAGATTTGATTGCTTCGCTTACCACCAATGACATCAAGAAGAGACGGACTTGACTAAACATAAACAAATAAACTGACAAATTAAGTTTAGGCCACAAACCACATATTGTATATCAAGGAGATCAGAATGAGTTGATTTCACCAGAATGTAATTATTCATTCGGTTTATTCATAACAAAGAACTAATCATCTCTGAACCTTTTTCTGTAGGTGAAACCTTATTACCAGTCATCAATTGTCAGCTAAGTCTATTCTCTAACTTATCCTAATTAGACACAAGCCAAGGACAAAGGCGTTCAGATTGTACATCATTAGTGAGTGACTGCAACATATTTGAAAAGATATTAATTTTACATGTTTTGAAGTGATTTCAGTGTAGACTTATTAAGAAATGCTTTTAAGAGTTTTATGTCCTTTATGTCATATTTATAAGTATCTATGTGAAAAGTGTTGGTTCTTGTCACATTTCTGCCTTGTATTAAAGAAATGTTTCCTTTTTATGAAAGCTAGGTGCAGAGCATATTATTAGAGGTCAGCTATAGCAGACGAAGAGTATGAGTTGAAAACAGGATCACACAATTTAAAAAGAATATATTTAATTGTGTATTTATTTATTACAAGTGTTTACAGAGCATGGCAATTCACATATATTTTACATATAGGTTTATATATATATACTGATTAGGCGTCCCCAGAGCACGGAATCTAAGCCCCAGAGTACTTGTTCACCAGAGCCCCTGATGGTGGGGATGGACTTGGAGTACCCTGAGACCAGGTCGTGGCTCCTGAGTATACCTGTCAGTGGTAGGGGTATTTGCCAGGGGCTCCCACGGGGAAAAGCCTGATGTGAGGAGGTCGAGAGACCCCGGTGGGATGGATGGATGGACGGATGAGCAGATGCAAGGTCAGACAAGCCGGGTCGGTAACAGTGGGGTCGGTGCGGTACAAAGCAGCGGGCAGAGAATAGTCGGGTCAAACGCCAGGTCAGCAACAGGAGGTCAGATCTAATAAGGGGCATCCAGGAGAGAGGTCAGGCAAGCCAGGGGTCAGGGTAGGAGAATACAGCAAGGTCAGGTCCAATCCGGGTCAGTAACTTACAGAGAACAGGATCACAGGTACAGGTATGCAGAAGAGACCAGAAGGCACTGAATGACAGCTCAGGGCCATTTAAATATCGCGCCCTGCGCTGTCATTGGTGCCCGGCGCGCGACCACGGTTCCTACTGCGCATGCGCGAACCTGTATGCCGCGGTCGGCCAGGACCTTGTGCCCGTGTCCCTGCACAGAGCGGCGCACAGCGCCTGTGCTGGGACCAGCGCCGCGGGGATCCCTGACACTAGCCAAGTACAGGACCCCAAAATCCAGTAAGCACCTTCAGGCTTTTAAAGGGCTTTATTTCCTCATTACACTTCCAGACTACCTATCAAAGTTTCGGAGGCCATGAAATGCCAGGATAGCACCTAACCCCCTCCAAATTACCCCTTTTTGGAAAGTAGACGCCCCAATGAATTTTATAAAAAGCGCGGTAAGTATTTTGCAGATCTCAAAATGAAGAAAAAAAACAAAAACATATTTTTTCTATTTTTTTTATATTTCAAAACCTTGTGAGAAAAAAATGAGATCTGCAAAATACTCACCATGCCTCTTTTTAAATTCCTTGGGGTGTCTATTTTCCAGAAAGGGGTCATTTGGGGGGGTTTGGGGCTATCCTGGCATGTCAGGGCCTTCGAAACTGTGATAGGTAGTGAGGAAGTGTAATGAGGATGTTACGCACCTTCAGGCTTTCAAAGTGGTCATTGGATTTCAGGCTCCTGTATGTGGCTAGGCTCCCAAAAAGTCTCGCACATGTGGTATCCCCATACTCAGTAGAAGTAGCAGAAGGTATTTTGGGGTGTAATTCCACATATACCCATGGCTTGTGCGAGAAATAAATCATTTAAATGACAACTTCGTGAAAAAAAAAGAAAGTTGTGGATAAAAAATAAATCTTCCATGGACTCAACATGCCTCTCAGCAGATAGCTTAGGGTGTCTAATTTCCGAAAAGGGGTCATTTGAGGGTGTTTGTACTATTCTGGTATTTTAGCACCTCAAGAAATGTGATGGGCAGTCAGAAAGTAAAAGCTATGTAAATTCCATTATCTATACCATAGTTTGTAGACGCTATAACTTTCACAAAAAGCAATCAATATACACTTATTGGGATTTTTTTTAACCAAAAACATGTAGCAGAATACATTTTGGCCTAAATTTATGACAAAAGTTTAGTTTTTTTAGATATTTTTTATGACCAAAATGAGAAAATATTGTTTTTTTTAAAAAAAAAACTTTTTTTCTTCAAAACTTTTTCTGGTTATAGCGCCAAAAATAAAAAAAGTGCACAGGTGATCAAATACCACCAAAAGAATGCTCTATTTGTGTTAAAAAAGGACATAAATTTAATTTCTGTACCGTATTGCATGAC